TAGGGAATTGTGTGCCCAGGAATATTGGATTTATGACCCTGTCAGTTCCACAGCCTGCTTTATAGAAGTATTTCTTCTAACTGATTTAATAATGCCAGCATGCATACTCTATGTAAGAAACAATATTCAACCCTATCTCATGGCTTTGGCCAAAACAACTGAGAAAAGAGTGATTCACAAGCTCCAATACCATATAATATCAAGAAATGTCATAATCAGAGGTCATGTCATGACAGACTTCAGTCCAGCTCAGAGACTGCTCTGCTAGTCTTAAATTGTAGTCATCTCTTTGCTGTTGGCATAAATATGACCTGGGAACTAACTAACAGTCAGACACTTGTACTAGTAACATGACCTCATGACCTGGCGGGAATAGATGGCTGAGCATCACAGAGGCTTCAGAAGTTCCTGTTCACCAAAACTTTTTAGTGATGGTACCTGCATCTTATCTCAGGGTCTCCTGGAGACCTATACAAGGCCCTGGGCTTTTCAACATGTCACAAGATCCCTAGGGAAGAAAATTCCTGTATTTCAGCTGTCAGTGCTATTGCCATCCGTCTGCATTGTGTATTTCCTCACACAATTATATGCGGGAATATCATCTGTAGGAATTGTATGACTTTAAATAATGTGATTTTAAATCACATGATTTCACTCACAAGTGAACAGCAACCAAACACAATTAACAGTATGTCTAAAGGGAATTAATGTGCAGACTAATTTAAGGTGAATACAGTTAAGACAGGAATAGTGCTGATCAGAATGAAGGAGTATTGTGAGAACTTGAACAAAGCATTAATCTGGTCTCTTGGCATCAAGCACATGGCATCTGGTCTGACTCCTCACTTCGGTAACCAACAACCCCCAGTTTTCAGTTACACTGTTGTTTCAGCCAACACGTGCTGGCGTGTCCTGGCTCTGGCAAGTTAAGTAAGCTTATTTCAGTGATGTTGGTGGGAGCAGAGCTGGGCTGCTTGTCCTTCTGTGACCTAGTCTCCTTTCTAGGGAGCAGTAGTCTTTCCACCACACAAGGAAGCAAGGACAGAATAAAGCGATGAATTTACACCTGCCCCCATATTCTACTTCAAAGACTGTCAGCAGGGTTCCTTTGGGGATCCCATTCCCCTGACACAGATGATGACATACGGCCAAACTAGTAGCATGCCGTGTTGCAGAGGTTTCAGCCAGTGTTGCAGCCCACAGGGTAGCTCCGTGGAAATGATAATAATTCAAACAAGCCCAAAAGGATGTCTAAGTTAAGCTGAAGTCCTCTTCTCTCTGTGTGGCCCTGAATTGAGAGGACATAGTGGTATCATAAGTCAGTTAGCATCCTCCTTTTTTTACTTCCTCTTACTGTTATATTCTCTCCATGATTATCAAGCAGATGTAAAGCACTAACCTACAGTTTTTCTTGTGGTTATTCTGTACTGACATTATGGTTTCCCCTCTAGGGATATCAAAACCACTTTGAAATTAAAAGATGTTTTTGATTCTATTTATGGTTTACTTGAGGTGGTTTTGGTTTCATTTCTGATTGTTTCTGCTTGTTTGTTTTAGCATATTTATAATACTTCAATTTAGGCCAGTTTTTGTGGTGTGGTGCTATGCCACAGAATTCAGAATGGGCTAAATTTATTACCTTTTAATGTGAAAAAGACATGAACTGAAGGCAGTGTTGGACAAGCACGATAGTACTACAGCACAAATCCAGATGCTAGATCTTCTGATTTGAAACAACATACAATGTATGCATAAATTTTTTACTTTAGAGGTAAGGTTCTGTGGTTTTGGTGCACTGTATACTCGTGGTGCAATTTCGATATTACAGCATCCTATGTGTGCAGAGAGGTAAGGGTATTTAGCCTCGTGTACAAATACAATGCTTCTCACATTTTCATTAAAAGTAATACATTTGGTAGATAACTGGTGGGCATCTGTTAACTGTCTAAAAGAAGCAGAAAATATTACAATAGAGAAAGAGATGTAGCTAAACAGAGGGAAAAGGGAAGTGATAGTGGATAGTAGTGATGTGCTTGTAGGCAGGTTGATGAAGGCTGCTGCTTCTGTAGCTGAAATAATTTGCATTCTAAAATTGAATGAACATTAGAAAGAAGAAGGTTCAAAAATAGAGAAGTCATTCTTTCTACTATAAATCTATGTTAGAAAAGGATTTTGTCTCTATTGTGATCTGTCCATTTATTTCATGCTCTTGATAATGTTGAAGGTTTATATATCTCAGAAATGTTTGAAAACAACTTGCTGGTTGTAAATAACTTTCTTGTAGCATGACTTAAAATTTAGATTGTTTCTCTTAACTATCCTTAACATCAGAAAGTATTCTTTTGGGAAGGATGGTGGGAAACCTCCTTTATTGTATGTTTTTAAAAATATTTAAAGCTGTATGTTTTCATCCTGTTCGGCAGTAACCAGGATTTTATGGAGTTTTTTTCTTCATGGAGCCTTTGAGGACTTCATTTATTGAGCTCCTCCACAGAGACAAGTGAAGTAAGACCAAAATTTAATAATTCCGTCATTCTGTCCTTTGTGTCTTTGGTAGATATTTGAAGCTCTATTAGCTCTTTCTGAAATCTGTATATTCATGGAGCAGGACATTTGACTTAAACAGTTAAATACAATATCAAGAGGGTCTTCGAGCTGCATAGATCACAACTGCTGGTACAAATCTGCAACAGAAACTGTTGATTTTGTCCAGCTGACATAAGGAATAGATTTCAGTTCTCAGAGTAAGTGTATACATGTGTTCTGTGTGTCTAAACTGCCATTGTATGAAACAGAGAGCTCATACAGCTCTCCAGTTTATCAGCTGAAGTAGGTACATGCACTTGGTCAGTTGAATAATCTCTAAATGCCATTGACTGTACTGACAATCTCTTCTTTAACTACGAGAGGAACTTTATCTTGCTGACAGGTCAATACCTATGTGAATCTATTTAAATGTAGTTGTTTTAATCTGCAAGATGCATGGTAAGCAACCTTCCCAGACTTATGTTATTATTATACTAATAGTTTAGACAGCCTTAAAACTCCCTTGTATAGGGGAATCATCAGGTTCTGCACTTCTCATTTCCCCAAATTCATTACTTCATACAGAAAGCAACCAATGCTTAAAACAGAGTGAGCTGCTTATTTCTGCTTGTTCCTTTTTCAAATTAATCTAATATACTACATGTTATAGAAGTTGCTTCAGTGTACAATCATAGCTTTTATTTTGGAGACAAGGGAAGAAACTTTATGTTCCTTCAGAAAGGTTATTTTTTTCTGTTGCATTTTTTTCCTGCCAAGTGTCTAGAGGTATGTCATATGATTTTTGTACAAGTCTGTCTTCATCAGGCTGTGACCAGTCTTGGCCACAGAAGGCTGTTTTGGAAACCAGTGTGTGTTCTCTTTATTACTGTGGCAAAGTCACCTTGAAAGAAATCTTTTATTTATTTATTTATTTATTTATTTATGCTGGAGAACAGTTCAGTCTTATCTTTATGAAGTCTGGTTTTCTCTTCCTCATAAGTAGTGTGTCTCCCACTGTCCTAAAAGTCATTAAGTCATAAAGTAACAAAATTGTATCTTTTACAGAGAAACTCGAAGCCAAATGGCAAGCTTTCCATAAGATTTTGGGAACTATTTTATCCAGCTGAAATGGTATGACACTTTTTTACTTGAACAGTTTTATAGCGTGGTTAAAATCTGTGAGAAGGTTGCCAATCTCCATAGGAATTCTATGGATGAGATTTCCAAATCTTATCAATAATCTAGAAAATCCCATCATCTGCATTGCTTTGCAAATTACAGTCTGTACAATCCTAGGGTAATTTCTATGGAAAGCTATTAATTTAAATATGAGAACAGTTCTTCAAAGGACACCAGGGTTATCTCTGTTTTTTAAGATAAGCCTTCAATACTTCAGTCTTACCTTCCCTTCTTCAAAGGTCTAAGCAACAGTATTTCTTCCTAAATAAAATAAACCATCAGACTTACCTTCTAGTGTCTCACACTGTGCTAAATTGACATAGTCCGCACTTGTCAAGATCCCAGCTTTGAACCCTCGGACCAGACCCTCCAAGTAGCCATGGTCCACATTGAAGTAAAACTCTGAGTATCCCGGCATGGAGAAAAGGAGATTTAATCTCTCTGCTGGATACTTGATGGCTCTGAATATCTGCCACCAACTGTTTTCCTCCCTTTGGAAGGAGTGACAAATAGTCACTGATTTCCTGCTAGCCTATGATTGTGTTTTACCAACTGGTTTCTTCCTGTTTCTTGCTCCTAGAGTAGTTCCAGTAGGGCTGATGATTACACAACAGCCAGAGAGCAAATCCAACTCCCTCCTGTCAGAGCCAGAAAATGAACATATTATTGTTTAAAGCGAAGCCAAAAAGGAAGTATAAGATTTAGCCATTGCTTACAAGAATGTTCTGTACTAATTGGAGAATCAGAAAGCATATTACAAAGCTTGATAGCATTTTTGCATTTCTTAAATGTGTTATAAACAGAAAGTTATCTGTGAATACCTATTGAAAAAATGTTTCTGCACTAAAATGGGCTGTGGTAGAAAATAGCCTTTTCAAGGAACTTAGATGGTTTTTAGGGCCTCTGTATACCTTTGTTTTTAAAGATTTTTGGTTGCTGGAAAATTTCTGCTGCTCATCTGTATCACTAAATATATATACGATCCTTCAAATAATTACAGTGAAAGGTGAAAGGTCATTGGAGGGTTTGACTTTCGTTAGCCTTTAAAGTGAGTATCTAGAACTTACCTCAAAACTATAGTTTGTCCAAGTTCCAATCAATATACTTTGGTTATGTTCACCAAGATGTGGAAGTAACTCATGTATTTCCTCTTACAGAATAAAGATTATAAAAATAGGAATCTTGATATCAATAATGCAAATTTAGAGCCTTTTTAGACTTCCTGATTATGATTCAATTTAAACTTGAAACTGCTAAATCTATCAATGACTTTTATACTGAACTGTTAAGTCTGTTGCCTTTCAGATTTAGGTGCCCCAAAGCTGACAGTTCAAAGTGGCTACGTGTTTGTAAAAAACACAAAAAGTCCTTTTTCTCCATAAATTCACTAGCATATGCAACGCATGTCTGCCAGCTTTGCTGGAAGGGAAAGTCTTATCACTCACTAGGTGACATTTAGATATGTAGTTAACTGGAGCTTGGGAATGTTGCAATGAGGTGTTTGAAGACTGCTGCACGGTTGGAGGTTAACACCAGCAACAGAACCTGTAACAGCTGCCTGCCATCTGCACCTTGACACTTAGACTCAGTTTTCAGTGCTTTGAATGTATGGTGAATTGTGCCGGCTGAAGACAAGCAGCTTGGCTTTTCTGTTGATCCTTGTGCTGAAATGTGGCTGCAGCAAGAGCTGTAAGTCAGCAGTCACGGGGACAGGGGGAGCTGAGACACTGATGACAGCTTGGTACTCACTAGACGATTCCTGTCTATACTGCCTTGAGCCTGGCTTTTAAGGCCATACAATGAAGCATGAGGTACCTGGGTGTTTGCTGCTGAAACAGCCACCCACTACTGCCTCTAAGAAGGTCACTAGGTAGCTGACTTCTTGGCTGGCTGTCCGAGAGCCTCCAAGGGGCAAGAAGTGGCCATGAGCCACCTGTCAGGCCAGGCTGAGCCAAGGGAGTAACACTACTGCAGCTTGAGGGTCAAATTAAAATTGTCTCGAGCTGGTTATTACCACACCTGTAACTGGCTGCAGGGGAAATAATGACAGCATTTACACATTTAAAAAAAATCACGTGCTCAGATACACAAACTGTAATTAGTTGCGAGTTCAAATGGTGCCTAGAGTATTGAAGTTTGCTCCTTGTATATTAGGCTTGCATTCTTGTCAGTCAGTTCTTGGTGTTGCAGAATTAACCCAGCTAAAGAATGAGACAGATTAGGCCTATTAGACAATAGAAATAAAAACAGCTTACTCCCTCCCACACATAAGCAATTTGTTTTTGTCTCCCAAGTCTGCATGCCTGCAGTGCTCAGAACCTCCTTGTGCAAGAAGTTGTCAGAAGTTTATTGCTTTCAAAAGCCGGGGAGATTTTTCAGGACACTGGACCACTGTCAGTGCTTCCTTATTGACATATGAAGATAAACACATTTTAACTTAAGCCTGATTTTTTTTTGTTGCTGTCATTATTGTTCTAGTGTGTTTTGCTTGACAACTTCTGATATAAAGTTTTTTAAGGAAAAGAAATGAGGAGAGGTTATAATACGAGGGACTCATTATCATGTACACTCTAAGAGCAATGTTTGGTTTTCACCCACACATCTCTAAAGTGTGTGTTACATAAACAAGTAATGTCTCACAGCAGCTGAGTTCAGGCCTCCCCCAGCTGCAATCACAGCGTATCAGAATGTGGCACATATCCAGCTGGTAGCAGTCCAAGGTTACGCTGCCGACGAGCTTCCAAGACTTCAGACAGCAGAGCCAGTGCAGAAATGGCTTGGCAATAGATCCTAAATTTAGTAAAGTGCAGGGTCATATGAATACTGCCTGGCAGCTGCAAATACCACCACTGGTGATCCTCCAGTGAGAAAGTGCTACCACAAGATCCATACATGCTGTAGGGACCATCACTTGAAGTGTAATCACTCAGCAAAGTTGTTTGGTGCAATCTGTGTAATTTTGAGTGATTTCAGGGAATGCAAAATCAGGCTAATGTCTTGAGTGATTTTATCTGTTAAGGGATAAGGTGTCAGATTCTATCATCCAGGTTGATAGACTGCATTCAACAGCATCAGAAAATGCTCAGATCTCTGATTTTTGTTACAAGAAAAATTGATGAAAGGAGACAGCTTTATCAGCAATTTAAACATGATACATATAATTAGCTAATGCACTAAATTTTTATATAAAAATATATATGTTCAGTATCTACTGTTGTAATCTATCAATATCATGTTCAATATCTGTTGCTCCAATTTCTTATAATGAGTGGCTAGTACCATATGATTTCTTTAACATTATGGAGTAGCTAAGTTTTTATTAAAAAATTATAGTTCTTTATATCGATTAATTTAGTTACAGAGAGCTGTGAATTGACTTTAACAAATTACTATGTGAGAAAATACGATACTCTCACCTGTCAAGTTTGTGAAGTGCAAGGGTTGAGATATTTTTAAAAGAATTTTTTAACAGTGAGCCAAACAAATACTAACAGTGTGCTTGGGAGGAGGTTAATTCAGGTTAAACAAAATCAGCAGCTCAAAACTCTTCAGATCTAAGAGCAGAATTTAACCTTTGATACTGAAAATTCTTGAGAAACTATGAAACAAAATGCATATATTATTTAACCACAAGAGGTCATCATAACACTGCTGTAAACCACCTTTCTTCAGTTGTTTTCACCTCCACTGAAAGAAACTTGAAAAGAAACATAAAAAAAGTTCTAGGGTTTTTTTAATTTGTTTTCAGTTAATCTATAGTTAACAATAAAACCCACATATACTAATTATTTACTCAGATGTGACAAACAAAATATTTCCGTTTTACCTGTATTTTATTTTTGCTATATACACAGATTTTTCTCTGTGCTTCCTCTTTTTTTTCTTCTTTCAACAGTGTTGGCGGTTCCTAGCCACGAGGTTAATGCTGAAGAACAAATGACGAAGAATCAGCAGAAGAGTGATTCAGTGGTGATATATCAGTGGAATGTTGACTAAATCACATGAATTCAAAATTACTCTTCTTTCATTAGAAGTACTCAAAGATGCTATTTTTTTCATCCTGGAATCTCTTCTAGAAGTCTATCTATGACAGCTTTAGCCAGGCAGATCTCTGGTTAAATTGTGATTTTAATTATCCAGAAGCAAAATTCTCTCAAGTCTTGACTGTGAATTGCTTACACAGATAATTAGCATTATGAGTGTGAGATTCAATGTTACCAGTACATGGTGGTGCTTCAACTTGTGAGTGAAACAGATTTCTTCATTTGTGTGTATATTGACTCTTTTTATTTGGATGTGGGAGATTTTTGACCTAATACTGGCTCTATACTTCCTATCCTGTCAGTGGAAAATGCACCTTCCTTACTTATAGATTGAAAGTGTTTTATAAAACATAACCTGTTCTTTCAGCTGTTTCCCACTCCCCCCAAAAAAAACAGGACTTTTTTTTTAGATCAGCTAGTTAAAATTTATGAGCTGTGCTGCATTTACAGTAAAAGTATTTTAATTTTCTAACACAATGTAATAGTATGTAAACTGACTTAGAGACTTTTAGAATGCAGTGTCTCCCATGGGGTTTTTTTGTTACCTATCTTTGCACTGGCATTGAAAGGCAATTATATCAAAACTCCTTAAACTCTGTAAATCCTGGAATGTTCTGCTGTAAATTTCTGATAGGTGTAACCCATTCCTAAAAATCCTTCTAAAATATGATCTGTTGAAATCTCTCATTTTCTGAAATAATAGTAGAACAATTCTGATTGCAATACGTAAACATTCAGCCTTTCTGAGGTGTTGAGTACCTGCAACTCTTGTAAGAATATGAAACACAGTTAGATACCGCATGAACCTAGCACTCTAAGTAGCTAAGAGTATGCTAGCATGGGTAGCAGAAGCATAGCTGAGCTGCAGCTAACACAATTATGTTTGTTCCAGTTTCTGAGCTTTGCTGAACTGCTCTCAGTGATGAAGAAACAGCCCTAGTAGTTATATCTGTGTCTACTTTAAAATAAAATATATTAACTTTTAAAAATATATTATATTTTTATAAAATATAGAAAAATTGATAATTATTATAGTCTATACCTGTATAGACACAATCCAGATACCATGCTTTCTAGTTATTTTTAAAGCATGATAAAGATGCATTCCCATGCAGATCTTATTGATAGCTAAGCCTTCTTGTGCCAGCAAAAATGTTGTGCCTAGCTGACACTTCCAGTGCTAACCCACACCCCAGCCAATTTACGGTCTTTGCTGAGAGTCTTCACAGCAATTATGCACTCCCAACACTCCTATCACTTAATTAACTTTTGATTCAATTTACATAAAATACATGTTTTACTCCTGTTCCTTGTTAGAAGTGTTATTTTAATATCAGATTCGCAAACATCACTCACTGATGTTATACAATATCCTTTTTCCCCTCTGTTGCCTTCAAAAGATAATCTAGCAGCTTTGTAGGTCAGCAAGCCTTTTGGTTTTTTGGTCTTTGTTCAAGGAATTACATGCCAGTGTAATAAGGATTTTATCAGAGACTTAAA